AGGGCCCCCATTCGCATCCCGCCGCGCTGCGCACTCCCCTACCCTTCACAGGTTACTAATCAGTCGGGGTGCGCGCGTGCGCGTCTCCGCGCGAACGCGCGCACCCCCCTCCCCCTTCGCCCGCCTGCGCACGCACACACAAAAGCCGCCATTGTGCTCGGCCTGGGGACAATACCGCGGGCCCGGCCGGGGCCCGGACCGAGCGGTAGTCACCACCGGTATTCCTGCCGCCTTCCCCTCCTTCCATAGCCCCGGGGTGTTGGCACTCGCCAGCCCGAGGTACCCAGGAAATGGAAAGCCAAGGTGGCGGGTAGCGCTGCGCCATAAGCCAGGCTGGGTTCGGGGAGGACTCCCAGGCAGCTCACCTGCTGGTCCAGCCCGAGCGCATTTTCCACCGCCACATGACTCATCCCTGAAGAGTACCGAGAACTCGGAGTCTTCCGCTGCTGAGCGAGTGTGTCTGGTTCACCGCGAAGGCCCTCTCACGGGAGAACTGCGGCTCTGGAGCGCACGGCGCGGCCACGGGTCTAATATACCCACTCGCAAGACTGCTACGTCAGCACGTAAGACGTGTGCCCTCCCTCCCCTCCCTCCCTCCCTCCCTTCCTCCGCGCGGCCTCTTCTGCCCGGCTACTGCGCGCTGAGTCCTAACCTCGCGGGATTTCCCAGGCTGTTGCGTCGTCCTGTCTGTTGGCTCGTCCTGTCTCCGAGCTGAGAACGCCGAGTCGAGCCCCTATTCGCTCCAGCTTTGCTCCCACCCCGTTCTCTGCTGACACCCTAGCCTCAGTCTTGGAGCTCTCCAGATCTCGCGAGAACTCGTCATCTCCCGCTTTTTGCCCGCTCCCAGGCCCTACGATGTAATCTACACGGTCACTCCCCTTTTTTCCCCCTGTGCCCCCGGCTTTCGATCTTCCTCGTTTTCCAGCGCTCTTTCTCTCCTTGCGCTCTCGGCCCCCAGGCTTGGAGATGTCGTGAGACTTCTCCGATCTACCCTGCCCTGGCTTTTCCGCGCGCAGTCGCCCCGAAATTGGAACTAGGCAGAAAGAGTGCCACTGAGAGGGCGGTAGATCACGTGACCGCAGGTGTTGGGAGCGGTGGCCATTTTGTGAAGCCGGAAACGTCTTGACTAAATTGATCGCAGTGGGGGAAGGGAG